TGACCGGTGAGCTTGAATGCGATTTCCGCTTTGTTTTCTGGAGGTAACAATTTGTCCTCTATCGCTTCCAAGTCACCTGCCTCTACCATACTTCACCTATTGATTTGCGCCCGTGAAAGCCGGATTCACGAAGAACAGGCTCGGTTTCGTCGAAATCAAGGTTGCATCGACCACATCTTCACTTTATGCTAGTTATTAGAGCACCATCATTCCTATTGTCAACCCATCGTAGTCATGTTCCGCGACATCAAAAGAGCCTTGGATTTGGTGAATGGATGATCACTTTAGAACTGTTTTATAAGGAAAAGTCTGCCCGCGAATTATGTAAACGTCATCAGAGCGCTTTATGCTCTAAGTTCAGGTCAAGTGAGGCAAACTATCGTCGTTCTTAGATATCTCCAGCGGCATGATACAATAATGCTCTCTGACACCCACTTTTTCGAACTTGGCTATCGACTGTTATGGAAACTGCATCCACTGGACACGAATGTGAAAGCGTGTAACTTCTTCCAAGTGGTCAAATTCTTGACACGTATTTCACTTATATCTGACAGCCCATAAACGTGCCAAATAGCACTGGACAGATAAGCACCGATTCTCATTTGTTTCAGGCTAACTTTACACGCTCCAACTACTATCCTTTCCTCTAAGATTGGCAGGGATCGCTCCCTTCGCTGACCCTTGGTGGCTAGCTAGATATCGTCCAGAAATTCAACTACTGTGGTAGCTGTATCCGCGCCTATTGAATATGAGATCACTAACCGTATAGGAATTTGAGCTCTACGTGGGCGAAGCTGCGCCATCGTTTCCAGGTCAATCAATCCTGCTTTCAGTAGCTTTTTCAGTTCACGAACTATGGACTTTTCAACTTGCTCGGTTACTTTCTGCAAGCTTGTCTTAAAAATGCATTCCATTCTTTCAGACATTAGCCGCTTCATTCGTGAGACGACAGGTCGTGACAGCACTGGGCAGGTTGAAAAGTCCATAGCTCGTGAACTGAAATGGCTATTGGAAGCTGTATTGATTGGTGTGAAAACGGTGACACAGTTTCGCCCACGCAAAACTCAACTTCTCTGTATGTACGGTTCCCCAAAGAACTTTCTCCTACGCACTATCGAAGGCTGACATGATGGTTATCTCAGCTCATTGAGCTTACTCGGCGTTAATTAACTGAACACACTATCAAAGATACGTACGATTTTGTCGACAAAATACGAGGCTTAAATCTAGAGAGGAAATACATCGTTTCTTTTGATGTGCGCCCACTATTCACCAGCGTTCACGTTTACAACGTAGGGTTTCCGGCACATCATCTTCTGCGATTGTGCACAAAAGACATTTAGTTCCAATTCATTGGAATAATCTATCGTCAGATTGATGGTGTGGGCATTGGCAGCCCACTTGGTCCAGTCTTGGTTGATGTTTTTATGGGCCACTTGGAGAACACTGCACTACTTGACAATACACAAAATGTGCATTCTTATTGACGACACGTTTGTTGTGATTTGTACCGCTCTGCAACAAGGCACCTACCCGATGTTCTAAACGCGTGTCCCTGCAATCAAATTCACGATGGACATCTTCCATTTTTGCATGTAATGCTAGCGAGAAATTCAGACGGCACGCTTACTCGATCCCTGTGTCGCAAGCCTACTTGGATAGGACAATACCTCAACTTTAACAGTTTTTGTTCTATAAACTACAAATGAGCATTGGTTCGCACCGCCTTCGTGAGAGCTCGCAAAATTTGCCCTGAAGATATCATCGACAGCAAGTCGGAACACATATCATCAGCACTAAGTGAAAACGGATACTCCGAGAGAATTCTAACACAATACGCAAACACAGAAAGCAGGGAGAACCGACTGACTGGCGTCCTTACAAAAAAGGTGCTCGTTGTGCTACTGATTAAAGGAGACCTAAATGACAGAATATTCCGACACCGTCTCTACCAGATGATAACAAAGTGTTATTACGCGGCCAAACTTGTGCTATTGAACCAAGTAAGCAAACTGCTATGTACATCAAACCTGGACAAGCCGGAGCCTTTAGTTACCGCCTCATGTGTTTACCTCTTTGTACTTGTGGTAGCAAGTACTTGGGCTGTCGACTAGGATTTCAGAGCACATTCCACGTAATTTGGTCGCGAATGTTCCCAAACTGCTGGCAAGTTCCATTGCTCACCACGTCTTCGACTGCTCCATATGTCAGAATCCCTGGGAATCGTTCAGGATAATTGACCGACATAGCAATGCTTGCCTGCTTAAGTTTGCTGAAGCTTCAGTAATTCGGCAGCTGAAACCAAATTTGTTCAGACAGGCTAGATTTATGAGCAGCATCTCATTGCTATGGTAAGGTTCTTTGATAGTTTCAAATTTACATTGAGTGACATTGAGCGTTGTTTTCTTTCAGACGTAACACCATTACTCCATGCATTGCATATTAACAGCTTATAGGAATATCCGAAATAGCTGAATTCAGAGTATCCTGTCGCAATGTTGTCCCTTCTTGCTATCTTGCAATTTGTCAAAACAAAATCTTACGTGAAACCATGAGTGAGTTTTACAACACTGTGGGAACGTGAGCGCACGTTCAAGATAGTGGCGGATCCCGCTGTCTTGGGACCTTGTCTTACTGTTTAAAGGCCGCGTGGCAACCGATGCAACACAGGACAGATTCCCATTTGACATGCACTTGCGTCTTTATGTTGCAGGCTGCTGTCGCAGGACGACCATCCGTTTGCCAGCTCTTTGGTTCTTGTCCACACAGAGCCTGCGGTAGTTGGTCGGTTTGCATATCTCGAAAGGTGCATCAATACCGGTGGACGCGTATCACGAAGCCTCGAACTACTTTTGTCAGCTTGGTATATTTTCGGCACTAGCAAAGAGCTTTGTCACTCAATGCGATGCCAACACCAGCCAAACCAGCTGCAGCAGCCTCTGTGACACCAGACAAGTGCAGGGAATATTTGCTCCCGAGATCAGCTTGGAACAACTTAACTACGGGGCTGGAGTCCTGTAACTGAGTCTCAGAAATGCAACAGGCATCAATAGGGAGGGACTCCAGCGTGCACACTAGGCCGGTCTTGTTGTTCGAGCTCCATATGGATTCGAACGTTGAAGGCTACCAACCGAAATGGAGACCGAGGTCGTCGGAGTGCCACTTGTCGCATCTTTAGACATGAGCTGGTCATCGGAGGTAGATTCAAAAGAGTTTTAACGAAGGTAAGATTGTCATGTGACGGAGCCGCGTAAGCAGTGAAGAACGCAGGAGCGGAATAAAACGACATAGTGGTATTTACGTGATCCATTGTTCTGTCAGCAGGCGAAATATTACCCGGTTGCCGAAGCCGAAGTAGGGAGTTGTGTTAGGGGACTCCTCTCTGAGCTTTGGTTGGATAGCCTACCCGCAAAGCATCGAGGCGAAGTTATGGAATCGCGTTCATTGAGAGCCGGTGACCATTTACTCAATTCATACGCCCTTTGTTTGGTCGGATGACAGAACAGGGGTCCAATCCTCCATGCATTTTCAGCATCAGCTTGCTGGAGTTCATTGCTCCACCAGAGAAGTGAAGCAAGGGGCAGTGATTTTATTTGGTGTCGAGTCACAGTCACCGCTTCACGGAACAGGAATCCGTGGCTATTTATAGTGAAGACGCTTGCCAGGCGGAAACCCCGCACGCCCTGGAACACTGTCGTTGAACAATTTGTTGGAACCTGATAATCCCAAACCACGCGGTTGGCACCACCAGGTTGTTCGTCAAGCCTTCCGGAGCAACTTGAGCAACTTGCAACTACAGTTAGTGCAATCACGAGAGGACCTTTCCTGGGTTTGTTTGACGTTGATTGGTGTATTATTGTTTGGGCTGATAATGTGAAATTAAATCATCAGTCTCCTAGGACGGTACCGTTGGACCATCTCACCTATTGGTATACGCAATCCGCTCTGTACTTGAATCCAGCCATCCCATGACATCTCTTGCGATTAGCACTAGCGGCGCGTTTGTTGTTGACTACTAATAGATCTACTATTTAGCCTTATATAATTTTGCATCGTAATTTTTTTGCTGCATAGTATCCGGCTGGTAGTTTACCGGAACGATGCCCATCCGTTACCGGTAGCTCAGCTGACTCACACCTGTTGCATATTTTTCTCCTTTTTTCTATGTATTGCGGCACAGTGGCCGAGGTGTTTCCCACCTCTAGCTAACGTGTATAATGATGAATGATGATGTTTAAATTTTTACCTGGTCCCGAGGTATCTGCAGTTTAAGCTTGACTCAAGCGCTGGGCACTGAAAGTCGCAAGGACCTGTTTTCACCGGCGCTGCTTCATCTTGCTCATTTTTGTGACGATCGCAATCATTTGAATAACCTATTGTGATATTTTGTGTGCCTGTCTTAGCCACGCATGCAGTGACCCATGTTTGTCGCCCGATTGTGAAACGCACGTGACAGCCTGGAGCTCACGACGCGTGTGATGCCAAGCTACAGTGCACCTGCGGACAGTGTGAACGACTCGGAATGCGTGATTGTCCCCAATCCGTGCCACTGGCTGAGGCGACTCTAGCTCTGCAAATGCTGTGTGTGTGATTTCGGTGCTTAATCGATTTCTACATCTGAATACTACAATAACTGATTCCGTTCTTCGACTTCTCCCACCTGCGCATATTCCTTAATTACGCAGCGTTAGATGCACTAAGAATACTAAACCTATTACCTAGTGTTCGTTTACATCATATATATATATATTGTATGAAGTCTCACCTGTACTCTTGTTCCTTGTTGGTAGCGTCATTATATTTGGATGGCACTTACCCACCAACTCAAACTGTTTCTTTGGCCGACCATGATGTCGACGTCAATTTCCAATCTATTCCGAGTTGGAGTCTTTTCAACCACATTCCATCCTCATACTAACCTCGCTTCTTAGCGTCCGTACTTCGTTACCTTCTGTAATCCTTTTCATCTTCTTTTATCTTCATTACTCCTCCTTTCTCAGCGAATATATCTGTTTGCTACAAGCGAAAGCTCACTTGCTTGATTTAGCCAGACATCGCGGAATCCCGTTGTTCTTCTCTCTCACTGAGGCTCTGCCCTTTGTAAAAGAACTGGTTATGCAGGTGAGAAATACCATATTTCTCGTCACGCACACGATTGCGCGCGTGTAATTTGATCCCTACGTTTCCATATCTGTTTTCCGTCCATAACCATATCTGCTTGCTTGTACGTTATCTACATGTCGCCACAACCTAATTTATGCGCTCTGGTCCAGATCGGGTGATTGTGTTTTTACCACTGCCCTTTTTCATGTTGTCATCAGCACACCGTTACTCTACCGATACTTTGCTGCTATACAGCAAAATAGATTCTGCTGATACAGAATAACAATCAGGCATCAGCAGTACGCCGGTACGCAGTACCGACGGTTAGCTGCCACGCAACCACCACCAATCGCACTTGGGCTAAGGATACAGAGGACCGTCCGGTCCCTCCGCAGACTCGAACCCGCGCCCTCGGATTACAAGGCAGGCTTACAATCCTTAAGGCTACGGATCGGCAATAACAACTAGAGAGAATTATCAATATAACTTAAACTATAAACAAGCATTCAAAGTTCGGGCACCTGCCTCACACTGCTACGAACAACCGACTATCGCGTGAAGATAAGGTGCTCCTCTGCGAATTTCACTACCTGCGCCAGCATAGATCCAAACCCAAAATGATACTTCATGCACGTCTTAAGCAATTACTTCGACTTGGAGATGATCACAACCGTGCATTCTTCAAAGCCTGCGCCATCATAGGTCTGGCAAGCAAAGCACAGGCCTCCTCGTCGAGTGGACATGCAGCACGAGCCCAAACAGCGTAAATTATCCAGTCGTATTTGTTAGCCAAACAAGCTTCTGCTCTCATCGCCGCCTGGTACTCGCCTCCACCGCATCCTTACGGACGCGCTGGTAATGCCCGACATCAGTCGTCCTGTCAGTCAATAATGGCTGAAGAAATAAAGACGCTTGCAACCGATGATGCCTTGTTTCACTGCCGTAGAGAGGACCGTGCTTCAATGTGGTGCTGTAGGCACAATCTTCGGGGCGAATGCGGATTTTCTTTCTGTGCCAATCGTGTTCGAAACTCATGCTGACACATATATCTTCCATGATATTACACGTTGTTTAGCAAGCAATGGGGATTCCTCATGAAACTGGTATTAGGTTGTATGACTTGAGACAGGATGCACGGACGACGTCAACATGAAATGCGATTCATCACGCACATTCTAGGCCTTCTGCTCTGGTTGGGAATGCATAACCTTCGCTCTATGTTGCATTTGGCACTTTTTCGCAGCAAAACATTTTGTAAACTTAGTACCTGTCTGTTCTCGTTTTAACTTTCCTTGGTATCTAATTGGAACTGAATGATAATTGTGTTTCCTTTCCATTAAATGATATTTATTTACTCATTTTCAAGACTCCGTTGACTGCTTTCCATTGGTTTTGTTAAAAAGCGATGGTACTGACACTGAAGCACAGTGGATCCAGTTGCCATCGCTGCCTGACTAGTCGTAATTAGCGATGTTGAGGAAAGTGGGGTAGGATGCAAATGGAATCAAACCAAATAAATGAGCGTTGTGTTATCGACAGTGCAAGGCATAACATTATGGTGACGAAACGAGTATGGATGACCGGTAAATGTTCAAAAATGTCGGAAGTTCGCCAGTAACCTATTGGATCTGTGTATGTATACGTGAATACATGGATAAAAGTCAATCCACTTTATATGGTTTGTTCAATTCCATTATTCTGCTGCTTTTTCTGTGTCAATTTTGCGTGTTCGCTTTCCCTCAGATTCGATGCTGGTTGTTTGATTTCCCCGGTGTGGCTGCGCTTGATATGAATGTTGACCGATAATTGGCTCCAGGAGACTGTGAATGGTTGATGGCGGGACAGGGTGCACGGCCCTCTTGACCGTGCTATGCTCAGAGTGATTCCATCCAGTGTAGAGTGGACTATGGCCGAGCCACCGCCTTGTATATTTTTGCTGCGCATGATTCTCTTCATAGATAAACAGGAATGCTGCTGCTGTGCACGTTGAAAAAGTGTGGGCCGGCTCTGTTGATGAAACGTGGCTCCCATCCACATGCCTCCCGGTCTTATTCACTCGGGTTTACACCGGATATGGGGTATGTGGTTGGAGCTGTGGGTGGTGCAGCGCAAACCACCCATGGTCCCTCTGTAGGCGCAGGCGTCCTTTGACTGGCCACAGTGACAGGCAAATCCGAAACCGGATGCCGCCAACCATATATATAAATATATATATATATGTATATATATATATATATATATATATAGCACATTCTTCTATGGTTAGCAAGCTGATACCCATCTATCCCTATAACTTTCTCAGTCATGTGATCGCCACAGGTAGTATTTCTACCAAACTGAGCCAACCGGTCCCCCAACCCCTGTAATCATTGAATGTTAGCTAGAAACACTGGCATCTCAGTGCAATCCTTCATGGCAGATAGCGTTTTGAATAGGCCAAGTACGTGCCGAATGTGCTGAATGTGACTATCCAAGAGCAGCTTGGTCTGACCTGTGGAGTACTGTTTCGCCCACCTGCTTCAGTTTTCCGTCGGTCATACTGCAGAACAACTCGGCGGTATTGAATCGCCCTCCAGAGGATCTTCTACTTAGATGTTGAGTCTGTTACATCGCAATTACTCTTCATGAAGTCTGACTCTAGATATCCGTCTACCAACGGATTTGTACTCTCCTTGTGGAAGTAAATTGTTTATATTTGGGTTGCGGCACACTTCATCTTTGCCTTGGGACATGCAATTTCTATTCTGACCATGTAAACCCCGTTCGTTTTAATGACCAGAATTTCGCTTTAAGTGAAGTGTTTTGAGGTTTTGATCGCTCCAAACGTTGCGCTCCTCGATGAGTTCCACCTTTTTTTGGACTCCACAGGCTGAGATAACCGGAGCTGTATATTGAAACATGGGGCGTCGTAATTTCTTGGCTTACGGTTTATCACCAGACTATTGAACCTTTGTAGTATCAAAAACGAGACCGATCGCGAAGTGCATCGTTCAGATAGCCATTCGAGAAAATCGCTTATTCCTTATTTCCAGACTCCGTCTATTGTGTATGCAACAGTACTACCTACATCGCACGTCAGATCGCGGCGTCATCACGACATGGTTAATGGCGGTACTTTCGTAGGGTTTGTCATACCGCTCATTTTCCTCCGACTAAAGGATTTATTTATTTGTTTATTTATTTTTCACTCTCCCCTCCAGCACCAGAAGGAGGAACAGCTGCGGCAACACCTATCATCACTTCCGGAAGATGAGCGTATTTTGATAGACGAAGTTAGGTAAGCGCTGATTTTTTCACCTTTGTATTGAGAGTCAGTGGCTTATTTGTCGCTATTTGCCACCTTCGCCAGCCCTATGTCCCAGAGTTGGCCGGACCAGTTGGTCTAGTTTAGTGTCTCCCTCTGCTCGGTATGCGGCGCCTCTCCACCGCGTCCTCACTTACTATCTTGTATCTACATCAGTTCTAATGTATGCATTCATCCCGATGATCGAAGGGATGAGGCGTCTGCCTGGTAACCCAAAGATCGCCAGTTCGATTTTGCATAGGTGGGAGTGACTCCGCGGTATCACTAGCCGACGGGCGACTGTTGGTGGTCGCGTGGCAGCGAAGCGGTTCTTCCACACACCGGCGTACCAGTGGCGCCTTTCCTTTTTTATCTCATGATTTATGCACTATTCCTACGCACACCTGACATTGTTCGTCCTTCCGACTATGTTGTCCAGCATTTTGGTTTAGTGAAACTAGCGGCCACTGACGCGTATGAGGCATCTGTCGTCTTGAGGGCGGGGATCTGAGACCACCTGATGTGCACCCACAGCGTTTCTGTCCCCGATCTATAGAACCGCTTGTTGAGACGGTGTGTTTTAAAGGAGTAATCTAGAGGGTTTTGGTTAGTTACAAGAAAGATTCGTTAAAATTACCCAGTTCTCGTCCACACTAACATGTGCTGCCATATGATGGACAACTGCTCACTGAAGTAAACCATGTTACAACAACTCAAGCGCACGGAGATTTATTTCTTTATGCAGTCTAGATTCACAAAACACACCAGACTCTTCTTACTACGACAGCATTCATTCGCATGGTGCTCTGTTCTGTTACAACTATCTTTCCTGAACGTTGTTTTTTCCTGAATTACAATATCTTTGACTATTGGATGTACACCTGGTGCAGGCCTTTGGTTCATGGCTGACCTCTTCCCTACCCGTTTGCCCGCTTGGGGTACGCCACTTACTCCTGCTACGCCCGCTTCAGGACTTTGGAAGATGAGACGCAATACACTCAGCTGATTGCATGACCACGGCGACTACCGCTATCCTGCATGGCTCGGTACTTCCAACTGCGGTCTCGAAAGAAGAGGAGTAGCGGATTCTAATCCCGAAAGGACTTAACGGTCTTCCAATACTTTTGCGAAACTTCACTAGCTACCTGATTTATTACTGCTGCGACGATTCTACTTTGAAACGGCAGATATTTCCACCTATCTTCCATATATTTTAGTTGAGTAAGAAAGACGAGCGGTTGAACTCACAATCAGTATTCATTTTCTGTGGAATCGGCGCTTCAGGGCTGATCGATTTATCGAAGAAAACCAAGCCAGCAACAACCGTTCCTCAACTCTGCACTCGGCAGCCGGTCTAGTGCTTGTTTAATCTCCTCTGGTAGATAAAGTCGGCCTGAAACTCAGATTTGGGATTTAGAGATTTCCAACAGACCCATATACCGCTGCTCCACCACGGACTTAAAAACATTTTGACTGCATCGTCTGCTAACGGCTAGACTGACTAGGTGAAATGCATTGACAAGAAGCTTCTCTCTAGTGCAGCGGGCCATGGATCCCTTTCCAGTGGAAGCTCTGGGATATTCTTAACCGCAGCACTAAGCTTTAATATGATAAGAATGAGACAGTGTCCTGAAAACGTTCCTTACTGCACACGGAATTAACACGGTTGCATTGTTGATTGTGTAAAATCGAATGTGTTGAATGTAGTTAGAAAAGCAACGTGCATCATTCCTTAATGTGTCGGATGAAATTGTTTCTGACATGAGTTCTAAATTCTTGGATGTTTGATGTTAATGAGGAAAGTTGCAACCTCACATATGCTTCAGCCTCAAGTCTATTGTGCGCTTTCATACTGATATGTTGGGGTAAATGGGAGAAGCACGGCGACAGCTGTCTTCCCAATGACAGGGTACTCGTCCTTCATTTTACGCCAGGAATCAGACAGCAACACTTTATGAAACTCTTCCTTAAGTGAAGAATCTGATATCATGTCGATGAATTTCTCATACTGCCGAGAGATGAAAGGAGGAGTTTTTTTCGTGCAAATAAATAGGTTCTTAACACAAGCAAATTCCTTTTTCCCTCATTTTCACTTGGAAAAGCTTCGGCCAGATCTACCTAATGCTGCACAGTTTTGTCAGAAAGAACCTCTGTGGGTTCTGTGCCCGGTTCATCACTTCTAAAATGTCTTTTAGTGCAGGAAAGCTGTCAACATCTCCACTATGGACGGAAACCCACCAAAGGTCCTTTTGAAATCTCGAATTTTACCATTTGCATTGAATGCGGTCGCAGATTTTTCTTGCAGTGCTGGATTTACTTTATTTAATTTTGTGAAGTTATCGGACAAATAGTCAACTCTTGCCAACTAGATTGTACTGATCATTCGGAACGGTGAATCAGATTGGTGATCCATGTGGAAATGAAGACTTTTGTGCGTAATTCTAACAAACGTAGTAAAAGTTCACCACGCGAGAGCCATCTTACTTCATTGTGGATCAGTAAACATTTCTGAACACATTTCATCTCATCACACAGAATCTTAAACAGTCGGTTGTTCAGAGGCCGAAATGTAGTGAAACAAATTATCTTCACTGCCTCATCGAGAACAGTTTTGCGATTGGTGGCCTTCTTTTTACAGCAAGTGCTTGTCGATGATGAATACATTGGTTGCTGGTGCAGGTTTTTGCATCGGTTTTAATTTTTACCACAGCACTAGCAACCTTTCCTGTCATTGCTATTGCACCAACAGTGGAATTATCCATGTAGTTGTCCCATGGAACGTTATTTTCGTGCATAAAATTATTCACCATGTTGAACATCTCAACGCCACTACCGATCTTCGGTAGAGGTTCCCACAAAAGCAGGTCTTCTTCTATGGATAATTGATGTTGGTATCTTACAAGTATAAGCAGCACGTCGTCATGCCACATCTGTCGACTCATCCATTTGAAGAGCGAAATGAGTATGCTTGATGCGTGAGGTTATCTTCTCCTTAACGGCAGTTGTTAATGTCTGTATTCTTCTACATGCCTTATCACTCGGTAGTGGTATTACAGACAGTTGTTTTGCCGATTCTTTATCCAGCATGCACCTATCCATTTAGACTGCACATGGCTTGCTAAGTTTCTTGGCTTTTGTGTGAGGTTCTTTTGTCAACTCTTTACGATGACTATGTAAGCGGCTTTAGTAACCATTTCATATACGATCTGAGACGCGTGAAGCTTGTATTTCTGGGTGTTCAACATTTCGTCTCGCCCGCGCTCAAACTACAGCAAAATGTTTCTGTTTTTACAATCCACTTGCATATTTTTCAAAATGTTGCGGTATTTTTACAGACACCATGGCACTATTTGCGAAGTATTTTGTCACACACACACACACACACAGTGGGCGATTGTTGAATTCCATGCATACAAAAGAAAGATAAATATAGTTGTATTTTACTCCTCTTACCTACTGGTACAGAGGTTACAGTAGGCACAGCTTTATGTTGCATCGCATTATGTAGTACAGGTACATCAAAGCACAGTGCCTACATTCTCAGGAGGCATTTTAGATAGCCCAACAGTTTCTACCTCAGTATTCGACGATGATTGTTTTTGTATCACATTTATCAATTTTCCTGCCTTCAGGCGACGGTCCATGTTGATGTTAAATGTAAAAATGCTAAAATGGAAACAAATATTTTAACGCAAGGGTCCAAAACACACCTCAAATTTGACTGACCACTCGCGTGATTCTAAATTTTGTCCGAAGCATTTTGCTATTCAGTCTCAGCTTCGGACCGCGGTTTTTTGACTTACACCTCAATCTCTGGGGCGGTATTCGAAACAGGGACCTTATCGGTCTTGCCCTCACCCCATTTTCTTCAAACCGTTGGCCCAATTCTATCTTGCTCGATACCCGGATCGTAGTTATTCCACTGAACTGATTCGGTCTGCAACCTCGTGGTTGTAAGGCGGGAAACAAGTGTTAATCACTACCTCTGATGTTGTGCTCGCCTAGAGCACCTTTTAGCTCCTTTAACCAAATTTCCAAACAAAAAGCTATTGCTTTACGACACACATCCAGATTCATCCAACATATCAGTACTTGGTGCTTGAACAAAGACTGTTTGTTGCGTTATTTTGAGAGACCAAACTGTGCCAGTTACTGAATGTTTTTATATATATTATGCTTGGCTCTGAGAGTGATCGAGAAGACGGTGGTGCGCGTTACTGAACTGGAACCGCAATATGCGACACAATTATCTTGGGGGCGATTCAAATTAAAAGGAACTCAAACGGCGACGATACTATTCGCTAACAAATAAAAATGTAGCGACCGTCATCTCAACGACGCGTAGAGCAAACATGCTCCCACTGCAAACAGACAGTGATCAATTCCCCTGGTCCAACGCACAGGTAGGAAGAGCAAAACCAAAAATGTACGTGGGACAACAGAATACTACCGTCGCGGTCAGTTGTAGTTTGCTGTACAATATCAGCGCGCTACGTAGTTTGCATGTCGGTGTTTCGGTTGAAATACCTACGTCCGGAACAGTGTCTGATGGTACAAACTACAAAACAGATGGGTTGCTCTTGTCCGGCGTGGTCAAGTATGTAACACGACATGAAGCGAAGCGGTCGATAACTTGGTCAAAGCATCAACTGGAACATAATAGACGGATGGACTCAGTCCATTTCAGGTCATGGTAAAGTAAACATTGAACGTGACAACAAAATGGTGGAGGGGCGTAGCCGTGAATTTTATGTTAGGCGAAGGTCTCTTTAGAACAGTTAGTTCTTTACAACAAGTTGAAAAACAGTAAGAGAATGAAAAATGGTTGTTACACGCAATTCGTATTGTGATTGCCGAATACGGTAGTATGGGAGTAGGTAGGAATTTAAATCCGCACAGCTCCATCGAATTATGGTCAACAACCTTAAAAAACTGTCTATGACCCATCAACACTGATCGTTTTTCAAGTTCCACTTGATGTCACAAATAGTGTATAACTCACAGCCTTGGAAATTGATTGTTAGTGGGTAATTAGTTCTCTAAGTTTAATAGTGACGAAGTAAATCCAACAGTGTTTTGACTTGTTGGACCGACTTCGCTTCCACTATGCGCACCGGCAGACTGGTCTAAATATTTGCCGCTCACCGTTCGAAGCACAATGGGTGGGAACCTCGCCCCAAGTCCTGCACCACAAGCTTATATTAGTGTCCACGTGTGCTGTAAGGTGTTCGCAAGTGGATCAGTGTCCTTGACATGGGGAGGTCACCGACATGTAGACAACAGTAGGTCATGGTGAGGTCGACTCGCACCAAACGATGGGACAGCGTACACAGTCCCAGTCTCCCGCATCAGTCTTCCTACGGCAAGCCCCGAAACCTGGGATGAGCCTGTTAACGACGTGTTGGACCCGTTCGATCTTTCGCGTCTCGCCTTGGGTGGTCGGACAGTAGGCGGGCGTGCCGTACTCTTGTGACGACGAAAAGGAGGCGGGTGGTAACCTCTTCATACCAGGTACAGCATCTGCGTGTAGAATCCCAGAGCATGCGCAGCCAGTTTCGGTGTAGCCTGTTCGTGTTGTTCACGGACGAAATTACAATGCGAGAGTACACCTACGTTCTTCACAGAAAGTGTTGGATACAGATCAGGAACAAAGTAGATCCCAACACTGCTTTGAGGTACGATGCTGGCCGAGGGATGTCAATTGATTGGATGGCGGTCGGCTTGTAACCTACACTTTATTCCAACGGGGAACTCGCGAATCCACTGGTGCAGTGAACCACAAACACCGCACGCTCTCAGCCTGTGGAGGAGAATCTCAGGTTTATCTTGTCTAGCACTCTACTTAAATCTATCTAGCTTACATTGACTGACATTTTTGGTACATTACCTGCAACCATTCATGCCTCGTCAGCAGCTGGATGTAACGCATGAAACCCTGATGTGTGGGCATCAAGATGTCTTTGAACCAAAACAGCTGTAGCAAACCCTTCATCACGATCTTCTCGGCTACCTTGGTCAAAATAAGTGTCAGACAAATGAGCCTGTAGTTTTCTACTTTGCTGTGTTCAACGACCTTCGGAATCGACCTTGCCACCGAGCACTTCTAATCAAATAGCAACGAACCTTCGGATAGTGAAATTTTGAACAGGTCGGTCACGACGAGCAGTATGATACTCAATATGAACTTGAGAATCAGGAGGTGGCGTCTGTCAAGCCAAGCTGGCTTCGTGACTTCAACGTTGTCGCGTTTTTGACGCACCTCTTCAACACCCTAATCCAGACTGTCGAGTGTGGTAAGGGTTGCACGCATCGAACTCGGGATATATACCTGGTCATTTGCGAATGCGGAGGCTAGGTGCTCTATGAACGCGGACGCACGTTCAGTTTTGGAGGTTAAGGGCTGTTCATCCGAGCCCACTACCACTTCTAGGTCACAAGTAGGCTTCATTCGCCGCTTTACATATGTAAATATTCCGTTCGCTACGGTGTTGACAGCGGTTGCGAGCTGCTCTTCGAAATACTGGCACTCGCTCAGTTTCGCACTGTTGCAAATATTCCGCCACATTTGTTATGTCTCGTGGTGTCAGTCGAGCCAAAGGAGGAATTCGTTCCACAGTCTGCGCCTCTACCGAGCCAGTTTACCATGTCTTATCGAATTAATGTGTCTTTCTCAGTAGACTTTTCAACACTTAAGAGACAAACCGGTTACACAATGAGTTTACTTCGTTCTTTATAATTGACCAGTGAGCTTAAACAGCATTCGCTTGCGACAGTGACTAATCCACCTGGTTCGTGGTTCGAGTTAGACCTTCGAAGTTCGAATTCCAGTATATGTAAGCTGAATCCAGTACGTGGGAATACTGCAACAGCAGCTTCATGTAAGCGCTGATAACTGTGTGGTCGTTTCCCAACAGGGTCTGCAAGATCTTGACGTCATATACATGCCGTTTGCACTTTGTTAGCACCAAGTCTGGAGACGATGGAGTTGAGCGCGGTGTAATGTGCGTCCGGCAAATGTATTGTGCCACTCCAGTTTCAGGTACCATTTCAGCGAACTTTGTTTCGGCCTCACAGTATCCGGAGATAAGTTGAACTTCAGGCCAGCGTATTCGAGAATAATTGAAATTGTTCATGAGTAGAAAATGGAAGCTACTAACATGGTTCAAGTGATTTTGATACACTGCACCAGCGAGCGGCTTTCGTGTCTGAGGTGGATCGTGTACCACAACTGCTCACATAAACCATCGTCGTTTCCGTAGAGGCTCACAATTTTCCCACACACAGAAGTGCATGTGGAGTACGACGCCATCATGGGAATTCAGTAGTTTATCACAGCGGAAGCACAAGTAGCCATTTAGCTCAACTTCCTGAGTACGCACCTCAGAATGCAAACGCGTCTCCGGGAGTCCTACTACCTATGGTCGCTGAGGAGCAACGAAGCTGCACAGCTTACCACGCTTGTTGACAAGACTATATATTAGGTGCTCAAATTTTAACACATGACTTCTGCTTGGTGCGCGACGTATTGCCAATGGGCTCACAGTACCTGTCCTGATGTTGCAGATTGGCTCACTCACACGTCACTTCCCAATGGACCGAAGTACCTGTCCTTCAAATGTCCAAGGGGCCATGGTAGGATAATGTTGGAAGTTTGTGAGTAGGGTAAAGTTTGTAGAAAGTAGAAGTGGTGGTAGAGCAGCGGACCGGAAATTCGTGGACCGGGGTTCGACTCCCCGTCGAGGCATATTATTTTGCGTGAATTTTAATCATGACTTCTACTTTCTACAAACTTTACCCTACTCACAAACTTCCAACATTAAGACTACATATATTGATAAACGATACGCGCAGGCCACGGTAAGAACTACTGGGCGTGAGGAGATAGTACTGATCAAATCCCTTGGTGCTTGGGGGCAACAAATCAACAACAAAAGGTCGAACAAAATTAGCCCATGGTCAGTATAAGTGCAACATATGCTAAGTCAATTGTCTTAGTAACAAAGCTGTCGGGAGCAACTCTATTTCAGAAATCTGACCAAAAGCTCATTGGGATCTACTCGAGTCCGGTTTCGGATAACATTAAAAACGTTACAACAATGCGTGTATTTTCCTCCAATTTTTTAGTGATACGGTCCATTTTAAATGAGTTTCAGTTGTTTTCACTTTTAGTGTATAGCTGTGGACTCACTGGCTTCTATCGAGATAAATGAACTTCCGTCTTGGTCCAGTCCAGTTGGAAATGTGATCCATAATTCTTTATCTTCCATACTAAGCTCTGTGAGAATGCTGTCTAACTCATTTCATGATCAATGAACATGCCCATCATTAACAATAATTTGGACTGATGCTTCGCTACCGTACCAACAGAAGTGGAGGTCGTAGCTGCGTTTGTCTGACCTTTAATCACTGGCCTCCGTTAAGAGTGGCTCAGTTGGCCACAAGGGCACGTAAACCGTTACGTCGTCCTAGCTTCAACTTTTCACGTGACAGTGGCAACAACTGATCTGGCATCTTTTTTCTGCCACTGCTCTCCATGCACTGAAACATTGCGTTTTTGTTGTTTCTTCAAAAAGCTCGCTAATAAGCTCCGAAAAGAGCAACCTACTTTTTCTACTTCAACCTTGAAGCAGTCTACGATGGTGAAGGTTGGAACAGTTTCACAATCTCGGACGTTTTCATCGTGTTTGAGCCTTTGTGTGCAGTGCGTTGCTTTCGACAGACGATATGAGGTATCACACCCAGTTTTGCTCGTTGGAATTTAGCACATTTGATGCGGTCTTCAACTTTCAGTGGCCACTTTTGGCGCCTACTTCGCCTGCGTCTCGCTTTTTCGCTGCGGCGATCTCATGTTGAATTAATCAATTTATTCATCTCTCTCGTGTGCGTCTGCGCAAACCCACACTGTATTGATATGCTTCTGTTTTCGCATGCGCATTGAAATGCTTTTCTACTTACATATGGTGAGTTATGTTCTTCACCTTGTTTCCTCCTCAAGTTCAGTGTGCAAAGTCTTTCAATCTTTACCACAATGCGCGCCTGGTTTCGTCAGCCCAGAGAACGTAAGTATCCTAGCACTTTGTATTTGATGTTTAACCATGAATTTATTGTTGCTATAAGGAAATGCACACTCGTGTTCCACCTCACAGCTCTAATACCCGTCCACAACCTTTCCACCAAACTCCATTTTTTTAGTCTACTCTTCGCCTTGTCTTCACCTTACGGTCACTGTTTCAGCACTTCACGTCTCACTTCGGTTCCTATTTGACGGTAGCAACGAATTGAACGTTCCGTAGTTTAACGTTTTGGTCCAGCCGGATGTTTTCCGTGTTCCCATCGGTCACTTGAAGCGCTAACGATTTTGTGGGGCAATTTGTTTCTAGTTCTGCTTTCTCAAACAGCGTTCTCATTACTTGGTTTACTGTGGAATGTGTGTGTGCTTAGGTTAGGTCAGTATTTGGTGCTGATTGCTATCGGCTTTTTGTTCACCGTACCAAACTCGTTTTCGATTGTTCATTTCGTTGAATTGGCCCTTAGTCATGTAATCTCCATCTGTAATGTCACTTGTAAGATGATCGGTTTTGTTTCTGATAGCCCATTCTCTCCTGGCGGCATTATATGGGTGACTCTGATGGTGCAATAAGCAATACGCAACAGCTCGATGGGTTGCTGGGACACACAAACTATCGCACCATGTTAGGTACTGCCTCATTATACTGGATGGTGTCACGTCATTGCGAGCGACCTGATGCATTTTTTCTTAGCACGACACTTAACAATAACTGAGCAGAACCGCTCGTCACGGTACTAATGTGGAGGAATCGCACTGTGATCACTGCTGCCTCCCGTCGACATCAGTTTCCTGCTCATCATTTTGCCACTCACAGTGGCCTCAGTACCGGCTGACAATGCAACATTACGCCAGCCACCTTCCAGCAAATCAATCTTTACGGCTATACCATTTCCCGTCGTTCTCAAGAAATGTGCTGATTTCTTGGCCCTAGCGCTTGTCGGCCTGTAGTTGGTGTGCGTAAAGCGAACTTGCTGATCGTTGAAGAAGTGTTAGTGTCAAAGAATCGAATCAGCAAATATCGGCTCGCCACATATCTTTGTGAATGCCATTCTGAGGTGGCTGATGGCCCAGACATGTGCAGTTGACCCACGCCAGTTTGCTTATCGTCATTGGATGTCTACATTAACATAGTAGCACTCCCCATGCATCCAGTGCAAAGGTCGCTGGTCAATAAAACGCCAGCGCATATCTACATTCCCAGTAACCACAATGCCTCCAGCTATTTCAGTTCATGAATTACTGTTGCATGACGTATTTGATGCTGAAATTCAGTCTCATCGCTCTGGCGGTTGGAATTTCTCACGGCTCACCGAATTTGTGGCAGCTTGCTGACTCAATGCAGTTGTCACGATTCGTCTTCGAAACCACACACACGCGCCCTCGCTTCACCGGCCATACCTTGTCTACAGTGCTTCTCAGATCATAACTGTCATCTCTGATCAGTGCGGCCATCTCCGTTTGCATTTTTAGGTGGTTCTTTCTACCAGTGTTCGTTTCTATCCAGGTTGATTTGTTTTCGTCGTTTAGTTTGCTTGTGTTACAGTTGAATTTCCACCCTTCCTGGATGCACAATGCAGATTCTTGTCTCGACATTCCATCTTGTGGCATCGCATTCCAAGGGGAATAGGCGTGCCAAAGTTGGTGTTGAAGAAGTGTTTGTCTCTGGACGGCCGCGTTTTACAATGTGATTTCAGAGAAAGCAAAGACGAACCCAGCAAGCGACACTCAAATGCTGATTGGAGCACCCCCGGCTGTTCAACTGCCTGCCTCGCTGAAGATAGACCAATGGAACTTGTCAACTTTCTGCGTCCATGGAAGAAGGGCAAATGGATAGATTTCTGCGCATTGGTGCCTTTGGAGGATGGCACTTTACTTGGCCATATTTCAACACGCAGCTAGGGACGGCGCTTCACATTTGCTAAACACTCTGCTACGATAAAGATAAAGCTCTAAACGACTCGCAGACAGCCATTGAAAAGTTCAGTGAAGATTAGATCAATGAAATTTATCAGCGTTACCTTTTCGCGAAGCGGACACCCAAATGAGTCTGTTGACGCGCACGCCGCTGAGTTACTGATTTTTGCCTGGTCCTGCAATTTCTGCTGTGATACTGCCCAGACTAAATAGGATAAGGATTAGGGTCCTCAACTAAGACCTTTGAATCAAAAGCCTGTCCGTAAGGCAGCGGGGTTGTGGCAATGATTTAGGTGTACAGAAGTGGATGTCATGCCATTTCAACTCTCAAATCCGGAGGACCAGGAAACTGAGTTTGTCTGATTTCTAACCATTGACCAACCTGGTAGGAGTAGCTCTCAATTGGATCCGGAGGCACCATGCAATATAGTCCAATGGGTCAAAGAGGTACGCAAACCGTCGTTGTGACTGATTCTCCTATATCGGAATCATGCATCGCCTGTCACATGTTACTGGGATGCATAACGTCATACGGGGTTGGTGTAATTATAATACGGAATCCAACAATGTTCTCTACATGGACAAACACTTGCTTGACTTCGTGTTTGTTACACGTAGACAGCTTGTCGACAACCACATCAAGCGCCTCCAGACCTGCCATATCATTCGGGAGTAAATGTCAGGCACCTGTTAGTCAGCCTAGTGTTGGATCCAGTTGGATAGTAAGACTTAACATGGCTGGACAACGACACCAACTCAAATCTAGACGAACTTATTCGCACGCATGCTTGTCTTTTTATTTGTCCGACTGAAATCCTACACGCAGCAGATGATTCTTACGGTATGGATTCGAAATTGCTTTGGGTTGTTGATGCTGCGATAAACGATAATCCGCTTTCGAAGCATACTGATCGTCTGAGTTCACAATTTGTCTATCTTGAGTGATAAGCACGGCTTCTCTCCGAGTTTTGAAGATCCAGCGGAAGCGTGACGTACCGGAAGATTTACCATCACAAGAACTGGAATGTCTGACAGACCAAAATTGATCAATCTACAACTGCGCAACCACCTGAGCGTGTTCAGATCATGAGAGTGCAAGTACAGCAGATCAATCAAAGTCTGGTCTTCTGATGCAGTGTTTTTGCCGTCTTGATTCGCTCACGGAGCTGGACAATTTAGTTACTGGCAACAGGCTTTTCAATATTATGCGCTAAAGATGCCATTTCGGATGGTGTCAAAACTTCTGAAACCAATTTCCCCAGCTTGACGAGCAAATCAACAGCTTACTTTCAGATAGGTGCAACCGATATTTCACTTGCTTATGGACCACTGGTCCTGACGAAGCAAGACGGCATGGGCGATGCAATTCAAAATTTTGTAGCTATAGTGGGCGTTTTTGATAAACATTTGACCCTTTGGCCGTTTTTACAGATACCGAACTTATGTTCAGACTGAACGTACACAGTCAGCTTGCAATCACTCAATGTGCCAATTGCGAGTCGCCTATCGTCATATGATGCAGGGCGTTTGCGGCACGTCGTCTTGCGACTTCACTTTTTTTCCCTTTGTACAACCAGGACGCCAACTGTCACTCACTAGTTTATCTCTACTAAATTTGATGTCAGCGCCCGCGTGAATATCTGAGGTAAGGAGGAGCAGGTTTTATTCAGAGTCATGAGTCCTTGTCTCTCATCGGGCACATGAAATGCGCACCACTGATAATCCCCAGAAGGATGATAAGGTTACCTAGCGTCTTCCCAGTAGTTGCCTGACTGGGTTTACCTGTAACCAGTCCCCCAAAATCCCTCCATTCACTACTCTTCAAAAAAGTCACATGGTCAAAAACCGGTTTTTGATGTCATGATTAATATTGAGATCCAACGATCGCACCACGTCACCATAAATAAAAGTGCAATAGTCAGTAAATGTGAACGTTGGCTTAAACTGCATCGGTGTCGCTCAGCCGAAACGAAGATACAATCTGTTTTCATTGTCGACAGCAGCAACGGACATCAGTCGCACTCCGTTTTAGGCCCATACTACCTTTGTTGCGATGTAAACAATTGCCTGTGGCGTGTAACGTCATTAGTTCTTCCTCCGGACTTGATACCACTGATGAGAAATGTGACGGATAAGTGCATCGACACACGAGCGAAACCGGTTGTTCAATTTCGAAAATGGAGAGGATGAAACTTCCAAACCTACCGGCACAGCAAACGACGAACGGACCCTCCGAAGTGCAGGCACGTCAGGTGTTGTTTGCGCCACCAAGTCCCGTAAGCAACGCTTAGCAAATCTTTCAGGAATTCGTGTGCTTTGGAGTGCTTATTGTGTTAGGCCTGTGGCACGCATATGTACTCCTGACATTCGTATCAAGTGTTATCCGAGGAGCTCAGTGTTTTACTGCTCAAGATGTCAGCCACCAGATACGACGTCCTGAGTCATATCATCGTCATCAGCATCAGCAGCAGCAGTACATCGCTCATTTGACCTGATGTTCCGCTGTCATACAACCACCACAACCTACGGAACGAAGAATAATAAGAGGGAGAAGGAGTTACTAGAAACATTAGGGTCAAGGCGCTTACGCCCTGTCAACGACATACCGTCACAAACAGCTGGCTACCGTGCAAAGATAAGGCGGCATCAGCCAGACAACTTTCTTGTGACTTTCACTACCCCGCGTCATAATCCGCCATTACCCCGCAGATAACTCACCATCAAACACACTTTAACCAGCTAATCCGAGTCACATTATCATCCCCCATGGCCTTCACCTGAAACATCCAGACGCGAACGAAACCGGTCATGGAATACTTTTGTTGGGGTGAGCAATGAGATATTACAGTCCAACCTGCTATGGCGACCACCTGTCTATGGTAACCAGCCAAAAACATCTCCAACCTTTTCTCCTATGAGTAATGTCCCTACGCATAAACCTGTCCATGGCGACCACTTTTTGTCGGTCTCCTTGAATGATTGCCTTAGACAGATTTGACTAACTGGTAACTCAGTTGAACGAAATAGATGCGAGCAGAGTGGGCAGGAATCTAATGGAGCTGTTCACACGAGCTG